CATAGATATTGTTATAATTGCTAAATAATTATTTAACTATCAATATGACTAAAAGCAAACTCAATATTTGTTTTTGATAATTTTTATTTTTTAACTAAATATTGTTTATTTATATGTTGCCATTAAAAAGTTTAACATAAATAACACATAAATAATGATAAATGATTTTTATAAACCCTATAATCCCCTTATATTCCCTAATATTTCCCCTAATATATGATAGCAAAATCGGTATATTTATTTATTTACAATTACTATTTTTATTAGTTTTATACTAATAAGTGTCTACTATATTAATGGTTAATTTTACTAAATATAATGGTAAATTGTGATTCTGTTTAAAAAACGATAGTTAATATTTTTATCAACTATCGTTTTATTATAGTTTGATTCCATAAAAAATAGAAATTTATTTTAATTAAATTAACTAAATAAATAAAGAAACAGACACACACATGTCATTTAAAATAAAATCACAAGTAAATCACAAGAAAAATGTAAAATAACACATAAACCATACTCCGTAGCTTTTGCATTTTTTAAAAACCCAGTCTTTTTTCAAGCAATTTTGCCCCAAAGTGCATTTCCCTTTACCAACTTATTTTTCTCAAAGTAAATAATCTAAAATTGGAGGTGTTTTTGTAAAATAATAAATGTTACGAAGAAATAATATAAATCTTTCACTTTTTGGTTATTGTTTTGTTCAAAATGCCGAATGTAAAAATAAAACCTTTAAAGAAAATAAAAAACTATTTATATTTTTTTAGATGATAAGTTTGTTATTAAAATTACATTATAAAAATATTAAACATATTTGCAACAACAAAAAACAAGAAGTTTAATGTGTATAACTTATTTTTTAATTAAATAATAATTGAAATATAATAAATATTGAACAAAAATAAATCATGTTTTTTCATATAATTAAGTTGACCAAAAGACAATGTGATTGTTGATTAACTTATTTTCAAATGAAAGAACAGAAATAAAGCATAAGATGATATTTAAATGATAAAGTGGTAAATAGAAAGCAGTCCACAAAAGAAATATAATAAAACAAATAAATAAAAAGGAAATATCAATAGACAATTAAACATATAATCAACATTGAAGTGTTAAATTTATACATTTAGTGTATTCTTAATGTGGATAATACAGTTAAGAGTGGTAATATAATAAATTATAATAAGTATAGATTGAAGAAGAATCAGATATTATAGAGTATTCATTGAATAAGTATTTTTTTCAACAACAAAATTATGAAAAAGGAT